CAAAAATTGTCGACGTTTCTCTTTGCAATTTCAAACAAAAGGCTGCCACAGCGTTACCGTTGCACGGGGTTGCAACGGCTCGTCACCGCACGCGTTCCGCGTTGAAATATTCAGTTACGCGGCGCGGTTACGTTCGTCGATCGGGCGTGGATGATCGATTATTAAATCCGGTTGGAAAACGAACCTCCGCCGAGTAGAAAGATATTATTGATGCAGCTGGCGTCGATGTATGCAGATCAAGACGCGAGATAGAGAGAGTGGGTGGTATCGCGCGCGCCTCGCAAACACATCAACACACGCCACAACACGGGCGCACAAACACGTTAGACACCTGGGCAATTGCGTTACATAGCTGGGGCATGTAGCCGAGGCCAGGCACGTTCGATAAGTCGCGCCGAAGGGCTTGCGAATATTTACGCCCTGTTTACGCCGAGCTTATACGAGAAATCCCTCGGCATGATTCATAATTCGTTGTTCCGACGAGGGACAGATCCAACGAGGAATCGACTTTTCCCACGGCGTTTATGTTCGGTCGTGCCTCTAACCCTTTCGCTCTAACGTGCCTCTAACGAGGTGGCGAGCGCTATAAATGAAATGCTCGTCGATATATACATACGTGGAGTACGTACGGCATACTACTTTTCTGTTTCCTAAACTTTGCCATCAACGCGCACACGATCATCATTTAGCGCAATATGTATGAAGTATGTAAAATACATACAGTGCTTTCTATATTATTACGAACAATTTTCTATTTTTTAGTTATACTATTAACGAGCTCTATGCAATCGGCAGTTCGTAAATTGAAATTACTTGAAAAAGGCAAAGTAAAGGTAAGAAAATGATAAAGCAGTATATTTTACTATTTAAATTGCATTGTCAGTTCAGAGATGAGGGTGATTTGAAGGTAAAAGTAATGTCAGGTGATAAAACAGTTCTGCCTAACGATGGTTGTAACCGAGGGCGGCTTCTATTGCTGCACGGCGTGCCGGTCAATTCAGGTCGCGCAGCTATTTTACTCTTTCCCGCTGGCTACGACCTCCTCGCATCGGTAAAACGAATGAAAAACTTTCGCGGAAAGAAAATGAAGAAGTTTAACGGCCGGTGTCTCCGTATTTAACTTCTTTACTTCCTTAGAGAAAAATAATATTTACCTAAACCTACGTATTTAACCTACGTATAGGTTAATTCCTCATTATTTTTAACTTGTGGTGTACGAAAATCAATCGATCGACTCTTAAACTTTCGAACGTATTTAAAGAGTATTCAAGCCTACGAGACGCGAATTTTGCCAAAGTCTCAGTCAGTCTAGAGTTTTGAAAATCTTGGAGATCTCAAAACACGACGAGTATCCCGTATTTTATAAGCGTCTTTTTTAAAAAAAAAAAATTGAATTTTTACAAAAATGAATGTAACGTAAGTTCAATAATACCACGCGCGTAAAATCAAGACTTTCAACGCTCAAGACGTTTCGAAACGATTCAAAGTCCATTCGGAATAAAGAGTTATTCAAGAGAAACAAACCTCGCGGAAAGCGGACGGTCGTTGCATAGGAAACGAAAATTTCGAAACTGAATCGCGTGCGGTGTGGATAGAACGCGTAAAGAACGTCAGAGTCGGCGGCGTTTCAGGGCAGGCGCCACCCCTCGAGCGGCGAACGGTTAATTAAATGTACGGCCGCGTATGTCGAGTCGTTGTTTATTCGTGTCGATAATTGCGATGCTAATTACATTTCATAGAAGAAACGAGAACCAGAGGCTGCCAGAGGCGAGTATACCGTTCGATAAATCGCGTCAGAGGCCGAGGGATACTCACGCTCTATTTATCCGCTGGATTTATTTAAAAGTCGTCTCCGTGCGCCGAGCGTTTTCCTCCCCGTGGAGGAGAAAACACCGTCTCGATGCCCCGTGCCGAATAATAACGACGATTGCGTTAATTGGTCCCGGATCCTACCAATGTCACGGCTTCCGTTATTTTCCACTGCGCGGTGTTAATCCCTCGACTAACCCAAAAACCTGATAACCCCTGATATCCGCTCGCCGATCAAAGGATTATCCCATCGAATCGTCTATGAGAAATGGAGGGTGTCGATTTTGGAGTTGGACCTACGTCAAACTTTCGTCCGTCCGCTGTTTTTGCTTTCCATATATATTTGTAAAGTTTGTTGTAAATTGTACAATTGCATCGTTAGTTAAAGCTAGAACTCGAATATTCAGTTGTGTCGTTCTTCACGCGTGTACACAATTAACTTTTTCGATAGCCGATCGTACAAATCAGTACGATCAGTCGACAGCCGCGACATAACGTAATTTTCTATTGCACAACCGAGCTTCGAAAGTTACTTCTATTGTGCATTAGAAACATTACTACATCTGTAATACGCGTGTTTCAATTTCATTTCACTCTGATCGAACTACGTGCCACGCAGTGCATTCAAATAATTTCACTTTACATCGATTCGCCGAAACGATCTGCCGTTTTTCATCAAATGAAAGTAACTGCTCGGAATTCAATCACCGTTTCTTCGCCGATCGCCGAATCCGGACCGCCTCTCGCGTTTAACCAAATTATTTGGCCGAGACTGGTTCATTATCGGAACCCAATTTGCCCCCGACTTCTCCCTTTTATCAGATCGAGTGTAACCCGCTCGAAATTCAGCGTCGTTTTCTTCGTCCTGGATTACCAAATCCGGGCATTAGCTTCCGCGTTTAACCGAAATTATTTAGCCGAAAGTGGTTCATTATTGGAACTCCCGGAAACCACGAATTCTGCGGGTAACCGCGGCCCCCCCGCGCGGGCTAGCACGCGCGCGTCAAAGAACGCCCTTTCCCGAGAAGAAAATAATTGCATTGTGCCCGAGCAACGAACTAGCGGGCGGAGTAGAGTAGAATGGTAAAGTCTCTTTGAGCTTGAGCTCGCGTCAAAAGGAAGGAGACGTTTATCGCAAACTCGCGGCGAAACCGTTCACCCGTGTAAAGAGCAATCGTTCCTCCTCGAACCTCGCGAACGTGAGGAGGTTTTCGCGCGTGTTTCACGAGCCGCGCGTTCGTAAAAATTCTGCCCGGGCTTCCTTCGTTTATACGGCGAGGCCGGGACCTTCTCTCGCCCTCGTATTTCTTTCTGTCGCGAGGCGCGTTTCGCGGGCCTGTTCGCGTCGTGAAACACGTTTACGGGCATACGAATCAGCCGAACAGAGGGAATTATTGAATTCGAACGATGTCTAAACTCCGTGTAAACTTCAACGAGCGGTGAACGAGCGGTTGTATCTACTTATCGCGTGGAAACGACCACTCGACGATACGTGAAACTCATGGCGAGAGAGATTTGCGCAACTTTCGATTCGATCTCGATGCTTTCTGATGCGAAGCGTTAATATGCAAATTGGATCTCGGTGGCCTTGGGATCTCTACAGTTTAAAAAGGTTCACTTCTTTTTCATATACCAAATACACGTGTAACGTGTAAAATAAAGGAAAAACAATCTTTGGTTACAGTATACGAGGACTAATTAAGAAACGAACAGTCGAATCTTTACAATTGAGAATCGTCAGTTATTCGTGTGTTGTACTACGTAAAAGTAATACACGATGACAATTTGCTGTGAAAGATCCTTTCCGCGGGTTATAAACTCAAATAATCTTCTTTGCAAAGTTGCTCGTGAAAGTTATTGAATAAAATGAATTCATAAACGAAGTCATAAAAAAAAAAAAGAAACTTTCTTCACGCCTTGACGAGTCGAAGAATTAGCTGTCGCGCAAAGCTCTCTTTCTCTCTGTAAGTCGAATTTTTCGTTTCTCACCGCGTAAAACGAAATCCCTGTAATTCGAAGTTCTTCTCCTCTGTCAGTTGAGTGACTGTGACGATAACATAAAATTCGTTTAATGAACACCTTGGAGAAGATACTTGCCTCTTAAGAGGAGGCGGGAATTACAACGTTGAACGCTTCCTAGTCTATCTCCCTAGTCTTGTCAGTAGCTCGTGCGCTGCGGTCCTAATCCTATTAGTTGAGGAGAGCCAGAAGTCGACTTAATTGCAAACGCTATTTCCGATATTACCGAAGTTGTCAATAACTACTGATATAAAGCAGATGAAATCTGGCGAAATATAGCCAGGAGTTTGTAATACTCTTAAGTTTCAAACCCCTCCGCTGGCCTACGTCTAGCGAAACGTTTAAGATTTCCTATCGAAAGATCGCGTCTGCCAGCGTTCACCAAACTGGTGAAATATGGAGGTTAACCACAATCGGCTCAAAGTTATAATACCCGAACGCTAACGATTCGAGTTCGATGTGTACCACGAATTTACAGATTTGCCGGTTTAAATTCTATAAACAACTGAACGATCGGTCGACCGACCAGATGAATGTCACTCCATTTCTTCTTTTATTTCCTTTTCCTCTTTTTCCCTTTTTCACGCGTACTTTGCGATTTGATGTTTTTTTTTTCTGTCGACAAGTGTGGACAAGCGCAGAGAATAAATATTGATAGAAAATAAATCAAATGTACGCAAAACACATTGGTACGTGAAATACTCTGTTTCATTAATTTAGGTTCGGCTGTGCGTTGGAAAACAAATTCTTCTATAAATTCCTGTGGCGTTGCAAACAAGCGAAAACGTCGAACTCAACCGCGATCGGTTCATACGTTGTTATATACGATCTCTGATTCGAGTTCAACAGATTCTAGGGTTTCAAGTGGCAAATTCTATGAGCGACTCCGATCGATCAGCCGTTGATAAATATCAGTTCATTTTTTTCTTCTCTCCTTTTTTTTTTACCTTTCGTATCCTCCCGATTTTTTTTTTTTTTTTTTTTTCTTCCTTTTTTTCCTCGTCAACGAGAATCGCGTTACCGAACGAGGAAAGACCATCTGTTCCACGCGGACGCGCATCCGGAGCCAAAAGTATCCGATAACGGGTGAAAACAGCAGGACCGGAGGAAAAAAAAAGGCAACGATTTTAATTTTACGCCGGTTGCAGCCGAAACAGGGTACTGAATTCACGGTATGGTTTTCAAAATCCGGCGAACAATGGCTCGGAATCAGATTCGTTGTCAATCTCTGTTCAGCCCCGGGCAGCTATAATATACGAGGAGGGTTGAGCCTCTGCTGGACGTTAAAACACTCGGTGTGCCGGTTGCTCGCGAGCCCAGCCACCGCCACACTCTCGCGTTTTAAAGAGGACCTGTCGATCTCGATCGGATCTCCTGATCGATCCTCCGAGCCAGCTAGTTACGATCACCCGAATCTGACCCTCGCTGACAAAACCGCGAGAGGCAGTTTCGTAGAACTCGATTACCCGGTTCGTCGATGCCTCGTAAACAACGCTGCCAAGTTTATAGCGATCCGCGAAGGCCGCGGTCCTCTTCAACTTTTCTCTCTCTCTCTCTCTCTCTCTCTCTCTCTCTCTTTCTCTCTGTGTGTGTTTGATTCTGGCCTCCTTCCATCTCCTCGTTTCCGACGACATCTATCGTTGGAACAACGGACGATCAACGTTTACGAGCGTTACGAGAAAAGTTCGGCGCTTAATCATTGACAAAGGGGGAGACGAACGATCGAAATTTCCCGCAAGCGGAAACAACTTCCCTTTGAAGGTATGGTATTTTAAAAGGCGAACGCAACCGGAGGTCCCCTTTACAAACTTGCAACTTCTTTCGCGACGAAAAGGATTAACTTTATCAGGAGGAGGGGGGGGGGGATTGATGGATGGATCGATCCTCCTGCGAGCGAACTTTAAATGCACGGCTGTAACCTGTTGTAACAGCTATCCGAACGAGGTATCGTCGTGTAACTACGCGAACCGCCATTAAACTTACTTTCTTTTTCCCCCCTTCGATCCCTACGGATCGAATGGCAGACGCGACTATGAATAGCGTCACCTTTGTGTTAGAAATTTTATAACGGCCCCGCGCTAGATCCTCTTAAATTAAAGCGTCAAACATCCGATCGAGCCGATGTTCAGGACCGCAGAGCATCGTAGCATTTTCCAACCAGCGACTGGATCAAAGCCAAAGTGTGGTTGACGCGTCTACGAGCTTTTGGGCCCTGTGTCTCACCTCTGTACGGCCCGCCTTGTTCTACCAATTTGCCTGTTCAAACTGTTCCAATACCGCAAACTTTGACGTCCGTTTATAATTTGTTCGCGACAGGAAACCTTCAATCGACGCGAACTTTGTTCGTTCGAACGAAATTTAACAGCCGATTAAATGCATCAGCGTTGAGTCAGTTTGTTCGAATGTAAGATTTTATGGAAATTAATATAAATATTAACATTAATATAATATAAATATAATATAATATAAATTTATATTAATATAAATAAGCAGTAAAACTTGGGAATGATCGAAGGAACGGTTAATCTCTTCGAAAAATCGACGGTCGGTTTGTACAACAGACTGTGGATTTTCTATTTTAAAATTGTCACGAGCCTAGAAATAGAAGAAATTGAATTTCTGCAGAAATTTGTTTCGTCTACTTGTTCCCTCGCTCGTTTCGACAAATCCTCTACTTACGAAAATGACGGTGGGAAAGAAGGAAGAACGAACGACTTCAATCATGTTACACGAACCGTTCGCGAATCTCATCGATCAACTCCGCAAGTTGAAAAGCAGAGAGAAAGTAACGCTCTTGGGAAAGTTATTTTTCTTTTTTTTTTTTTTTAAACTGATCGTCGATTTCCTCTCGTAACAAGTAAGCTCGTAAAAGCGAGTGCCTGATTGATTTTTTGAGAATTGAAAATGACAAACTCGCGTTGTCCTCCAACAAACTCATTCCGAGGGGAGTTCCACTGAATTGCGAGACGAAACGACGCAAACGAACGTTGATTGTAACGTCCAGTTCGGAAAGTGAAATTGCGCGTATGTTTTATCAAGGAATAACCAAGTTGAGTGGAGCACTTGCCGACAAGCAGGTGCTTTTCCAGGTTAAGTGTCGCTTGCCTAGGGCTCGCGGAACAGGATAGCTGCCCATCGACAATTTTCACGAGGGAATCGAATCCATTTCCACGTTCTCGATTTCCACATTTCTCGAGTGGAACCAAGGACGTCCAAGGCTACCGAGCGTGTCCCTTGGGCGAGTGTCCGACATGACTGGCGTATACGCTCAATGGTCAGTCGATAATTTGTCGGTGCAGTGATGCGACTTTTTTCTAAAATTGTTCGTCTGGAAGATAACTCCGTGGCGAGCATTTTCTAGTTGCCTCAAACTAAACGAAATCCAACTCGAACGAAATTAAGAATTGCAAAGGTTTTTCTTTATCTAGGCCTTGTAATTACAAGACTATGGATTCTTACGTATTTAAATTACAATGTAATTTAATTCTTAAATGACTATAAATGAATTTAATTCTGTAAACGTAAAAATCTGCGTTCTAGAAATCTATCTCGAAGAGCAACGGGAATGTACGAAGAACTACACGTCGTATCAGCTCGAGAGATTAATGTACAACTTCGTGCCTCGAAAATATTTTTCCGGACGGGCTTTGAAAAATTTCAAATTGGAAGTTTTAACAACAAGTCAACCACTCCAATTTTCCACGGAATGAATTTCAGCGATAAAAAAAAAAGAAGCGAGAGAGAAATAGAGAATGCAAGAACTTCGAAAAAACCAACGCTGGAACGGGGGAGGAAAAAAAAAATTACTGTAACAAAAAAAGAGAATAAAAAATACGTTCAATCGTCAGGTAAAATCGTGGTGTTGTAAATAATTGTAGTAATTTATGATGAGCAACTAAAATTTAAAGCGTTTGAGTTTATTTTGCATTTTCTAGTTCTCTAGATGGTAACAGAGATTGGTAACGTAATGATATAGACGGAGAATTTTTAAAACCAGTGTCCCTGAATTAAACGAAACGAAACCGAAAATTCTAGAAACTGCAGCAATTCGTTAAGGTAAATTGTCATCGTGCCGGATCAAGTGTCGAAAAAGAAACGAATTTTCGTCGAAAAGGAAACGGTGAAAAAAATAAATTTACGGCGACGAGACGAGAATATGTACGAGAAAAGAGAAAACCAGCGCGACGAATTCTAGCTACGGAACGTAACGTAAGTTGTCGATCAGAAAATACGACGCGATACGCGGTGAACTATACGACGACATGGGAATATTCGGGCGAAAAAGGAAGCAAAATACCTTGCCTTATAATCTCGTAAAACGGGTATTGATACTCGCTACTATAAATACCAGTTTCTGCGGGGCGCGATTTACAAAGACAAAATGCTGCTTTTTTTGCGCGAGCGGCAACATTTTCCGAACATAATATCTGTCCGGATGATCAATGGTAGTTACGGGGTACTATGGAGCTCGTTCTATCCCATTTCCTTCTCCCTGGGTAACACTTTCGGCAGGGAGGTTGGCTCGCAAAGCCGTGTTTCGAGCGGAAAACTTGTCTCTGCTCGACCCCTCGACGATATTGATTTCCTTGCAATGTTATTTACTCCTCTTTTCGCGCCCCTGCGACGACGATCGGTTCTCCGTTACTCCGTTACGATCATTCGATGACCAACAAATCAACTTCTCTTCAATCGATCCCTCCCCCGGGGATCGCGAGAAATTCGCCGAACGACGGACATATCGGCACACGAAAGTATTTAAACACTCTGCGTGGAAGACTTGAACGCCTGTACGTGACGTCTCGAAATTTCAACACCGTGAAAAGAAAAAAAGAAGATGATTTTTATGCAAATTTAGATTTTCCTGAAAAGCGACAAAAATAGCAGGAGCTCGAAGATTGTTTCACGAAAATTTGAGAATACAAGATATTTAATGTAAATATATGTTTTAACAAGATTGCCAAGAATACCTGATTGTTTGAAACTAGAAATAGAATCAACCGATTTAGACTGTTAATACTGAACATTTTATAATTGTCGGATATGGTGGCACCACGCGCTAAACTAAGCTGAAAAGGGAATAATAGTTTTTCCATTTGAAGCTCCGTTTACGGGGGGAAAAGAGTAAAATTTGATACAGAAAATGTATCAAGGTTACTTGATCTCGGCTAATTTCGTAGTGGATAGGATTGAATAATCGACAGGGAGGTCATTCTACGGTGCAAAATGGAAAAACATGGGATAAAATTTCTCCCATACAGTCCGTCTTTTTCAAGAAAATGGAATTTAAATTTGTTTAGTTAAAAATTGCTTTGGCGCACGTGTGTTTGACAAATTAATTTTCCCGTGAACAAAGCGTCTTATGAAAAAAAAAAAAAAAAAATTTCGTCCAACATGTCAATTAGCTCCCGTCGATTATTTTTACATTCGTTTCACAACCTCGCCAGCGTGCATCGTAATAGCCCCGCGCGAGTGTTTAATAAGATTTCAAAGTGTTTCGCGTACACGTTGAAATATGCTTGCAAAATCTATCGCACGAGTGCTCGAATTTGACTTTTGCCAGACCGAGTGTACGGTACGTAACCGACGGCCGAACGAAGAAAATTGTTGGCAAGCTGAATCGCGTGAAAAGTCGCGAGGAATGGAACGTCGTTCGTAAAAGTTTCGCATAACATCCACGGTTAAACTCGACGCGTGCAAAATACGACAATAAAGTGCACGACTACGGCGCGATCCGAAAATAGTCGAGGAAACATTTTTTCGAAAAAATATATTTCACAGGGCACGGCGAGTCGCGTCGCGGCGACTCGGTCCCGAATGGCTGACCGTAACCGAGCTCTTCCACTGGCAGCGCTCCGCAGTAGTACAGCCCGGCGAGGGGTCAAACGCAATCCGGCTAATTTCCATTTCTGTTAATCAAACGCAAATTTCGTTACAGGAGAAAAAGAAAAAAAACGAGCGAGAGGGACAGAGAATTACACTTGGGCCGAGGGAAAGCAAAAATCTGCTCAATTAAACGAGGAGAGCGCGCGATTTTAATTGATGCTTCCGTACGTACGCTATTGGCGAAAAGTCTGGATTTCGTGTGTGAAATGTGTACGTGGATCTTGTAATATCGGTATACATTTTAAATAGCGGAGTTCCCTCGTCTCGAGAGTGTTTCAGTATAGCGTGCATGGAGAATGAATACGTCTATCATTGTATGGTGCAGCGAGAAAGTGTACGATTAACTCTCGCACCCGGTCCGTCCAATTGAATTTTTAAAAATTCAATTTGTGCCTTGCTATCGCGTTAACGATA